CTTTAAAACACAAATGTAGCATGCAGAAAAGACCCTCACTGAAGCCTGGTTAGCAACTAGATAAAGCCTTTACCTCCGATTGTTTAGTGCTTATGATTTAAGTAGTTACTTGGATAACATCGAGGAACCTGATGTTAGCCTTCTGGGTTCGTACAGTAAGAGACAAAAAGAATCCTCTAGCTTTGAATCTCACTAAATAGAACACCCTGCAGTGTTGGGGGTTTTTTGTGTGTGTGTGTGTGAATTTATTGAATATATTGAGGGAGATTTGCCCCTAGATTTGTCAGCTTCTCATCGCTGAATATGCCAGCCCTGCAGTTAACGAAGTGATGTAAACTCTCAAGGCTAATGCTTTTACCCACCCATCTAAAAGCACTAATAAATGGGGAGTTTAGTTATAGTTTTGTTCCTATTCTTTATTCTTTTTTTTTTTAACCAAAAGATTTTGTCTTCGCTTGTAATACTGGCAGATCTAGACTCCTATCATTTGAGGTTGAGGGACTATGGAATTCCAGGTCCAGAGTGTGATGGGCCAGTGGAGTTAATTAGAAGGAGTTTCCAATCAATCTAATTTGACAATAGCAAAAACTATGGAGATTTCTTCTTAACTTTTTAGTAGTTTTGAGTAAATATTTATGAAATAGAGAAAAGAAGGAGAGAATGAAGGAATCAAGAGAGGGAAGAAGGAAGGAAAGGAGATACTCTGGCATCACCCATGAAAAATTACAGTCTTTTCCTGACTGCTGTATCTGGAGATGAAGACTCGTTGCCTTTTCTGCCTTAGTAGTATAAAAGAGACAGCCTCATAACTCATTGATTATTATAATATTATTAGCTAGGTAGTAAAATAATGTTATCCATGCAGGAAACAATTATTGTATCTGTTTCTTTTATATTCCTCTAGTTGTGTATTGCAATGATTTAGCCTGGGGGTTAGCCCAAACTGTTGGGTTTTTTTTTTTTCTTCTAACAAAAGACTACTGTTGAAAGACTTCTTCCCTGTCTATTGCTGCCCTAACACATTGCATCTCCTCCTGTTTCCTCCTTCATGTCATTTACATTTTTGTTACTTTCTTACAGATTTGAGGGATAATATCTAATAGTACAAAACAGTGGATTGTCCCAGGATCCAGCCCAGTTTCTTGGCTACTATAGGCGCTCAGTAAATATTGAACACACTCAGTAAATGTGGAATGAATTCAATTCAGAAACCTTGAGGGGAAAGAGTCACAAATTTATCAAACAATTCACAAAGAGACATATACCTGGCAGCTAATCCAGTTAACTGTATTAAGGGAAGCTGAATCCAGAACATGCTTCAAATCATTTCTCTTCTTATATAAGTTTTGTTTAGTGGCTGGAACACTTGTTTCTTAGTATGTTGCTTAAATGTGACTTGAGCCAGAGAGATTCACAATAAATAACACCAGGAGGCTTATGAATGATGTATAAAGCCCACCAATTTAATGACAGGTGAGGCAGAGGAGAGCAGTTACTTTATTTCAGAACAGCCAAAGCCTTGGCAATGTAATGCCACTATGGGAATACAGAGTGGCCGTGACCAGTTTGTAGTAAACTCCTAGAATGAAAAAAGTTTGAAATGTTCTGACAGGTATGTGATTTTTGTGTGTGTGTTTTACTGGAGCCATTGCTCCAGGTGAGCACTAATGAAAATGGCCCCTCTTGCTTCTGTAGCATTTGCCCAGCAGAGATTATTGAGCCAGCCAAGTGGCATTTCCAGCTTTAATCTCTTTTTACTTGCAGCAAAACTATACTATTTTTTTGGAAACAGGAGCTTTCTTGATTTTTTTCTCTCTCTAAAGCTTAGGTTCTGCAACAAACCAAGCAAAGGGTTTTATTGCATGGCTACTGTGTGCCTAGTACTGGGATTCTCTGTGATTGACTTGATAGAAACATATATCATAATATGGTTGGGTAGAAATGAATCATAGTTCATGGGCAAAAGAGGTTCCAAGTGAAACTAATTGATTGTTGGCATCTAGGGGTGGGACATGAAATGGTAGACAGTCTAACCAAAGACTGGTCTCTTCTCCCACCACATCTATTTCTGCTTTTAAAACCAATCACCTGTTTTTATGCTTATTCGTTAAGTAAAGCTCTTATTGTATCAGTCGAGATCCTTTTTATTTGTAAGTTAGATGAAAATTCCAGCTGAAAATGGCTTAAACAACTTAAGAAACTATTATATCACGAACATAAATACACTTTTTTCCTGTGTTGTCTATTTTCAAACAGGTTTTTCCCTTGTGCTTACCTAAATCCAATAGAAAAAAAATAAATAAATAAAGGGTTTTCTTTTCTGAGAATTTGGATAAAATCTGATCATCTGATCTCTTTAGTTCGAACTGGGTCACATGTTCATTTCAAGAACTCATCACTGAGGCCAGGGTTTTGCCTGAGTTAACTGTTCTCCCCTGGAGCTGGGATCAGCTGCAAACAGCTGGGTTGAGCATGGGGCAGGGACGATGATGCTGAGATGCTTTTACCAGAAGCCGCGACTGGATGCTGTAAGCAGATGACAGATATCCACTGTACGTACTGATAGCCAGGCCTCGTGTGAGTTATTGATGGAAAGACAAGCATGCCTTGGTTTCTTTCCCTCTGAGAATCTCACCTCTCCAATCTACGTTAATACCCCATTACCAATTCACCTTCTTAAGTCAAAGTTTTAATCCTGTCTTACCACTCCCCAGTAATGCTTCTGTCCTTATTACCTATTGATTAAAATACTATTCCTTGGTTAACCTTTTAATCCTGGCAAAAGCAACTGGTCACATATCTGTTAGGCTTTCCTGCCTTTGTGCCTTGGCCCTGGAGCATCTTTCTCCATGCCTGTCAGTGGTGGTCTGAATCTCTTTCAGGTCCAGTTCAAATGCTGTCTTTATGAAACACCCACAGAGTTCCTTATTCTAATATTTACAGCACTTAACATGAACTGATGTTATAGCACTTACCATTTATCTAACACTTATTTATCAGGTGCTTGCTGTGTGCTTATAGCTGCTCTAAGTGTTTAAAAATATTTTTCCTGCTGTGTATTATTATTCACGGTGTTCTTGTCTTTTTCTCTAGTGATCTATAAGCTCATTGAAAATGGGTTTTTTTTTAATTTACCATCCTTTGCAGGTGATCAATTTTAATAATTAATAAATATTATTAATGAATGGATTTATGCATATTTATGTCACTCTGTGAGAAGTATTTCCTTACTGAAGCTAAATTGTCCCATCTTTGGCTGTTGGAAACCTCATAAAGTTGGTTGTTGAGTCTTTTTGACATGTTTCTAGTAGTCTTTTCTTCTTTTATGACAAAGTATGTCAGACTCATCTTGTACATACTCTGCCCTAACCATTTATCCAAGAAGTCCTGGTTCCTTTTAATAGGAAAAGACAACTCAAACTCTTATTTATCTTATCTTATTGCTCATAATGCTTTTCTAACTTCCTAGTCCTCCTTCTTTCATTGTTTTTGAGTAATGTTCATAAAGTGGTGGCTTGCCTTCTAAGATTTCCTGTATCTGTTTCCTCCCTTCATTTTCATCTGGACATTCAGAAAGCGGGATCCTTAAAGGCAGTGATATACCCACCCATCGAGGGCAGTCAGCACGTGCCTCATGAATGAACAGAGGTTCACCGGTTTGCACATACAGCGAGCACTAGCATGCAAAGCCTAGGCGAGTAGGGCCTGTTTTCTCAAATCTCTCTGCACAGAGTAGGGCAGCATGCATGCACTTAACATTCAATATACATTTGTCGAAACATTATCTAAATGAGACAGAAATGAAAAATATTCAAATATCTGAGAATGAACTATTTCCCCTTTGTTTTACATTCTTCATGCTTTTGGCATCATTTTTGAAACTTTTTGTTGTCATTATGTTTATTTCCAAACAATTTTTTTAAGAAGTTCTGTTTTCAAACTTGAACAAGATTAAGGGTATTACTTTTTTTAATAAGCGGGACCTTTTTCAATAGCTGCACATGCCAACACTACTGACCAGTTATTAAGAAACTGAGTTATGAAGTTCTTCTAAAAGCCACAAGGCTTTGCAGGCCCATGTTCTGTGCAGGTGTTAGTAAGAGTATTCAACGACTCGAGCAAAATTGGTGTTTAACAAGGTAAACATCGATTTGTGGGGTCACTTGCAAGTGTAATGAGCCCTTGCCTTTATTTGTGAGTTTGTGATGTGAACTGACTAACATTTCAGATGTTTCCATGTAAAAATGTGTTCTAAAATACATAAGCCATTGAAGAGTTGGAGAAAAGATTCATTTCCTTTATCTCAGCCACGTCAGACAAGGGCAAGGTTTCCCATGGTTTGCCCTCCCAGCTGAGCAAGAGATGGAAAGTCTCTGCCCTCTTTCTTTTCTTTTCAGTTTTATTCTTCCTCTTTCTGAATAATTTGTTAACCACCTTAGACGAGAGCCAAAAGGTATCAATTGAAACTGGCAACTAGCACGGCCCTGGTGATTTTGTGGGATCAGTTTCAGGGAAGCAGTGAAGGCAGAAGCCAGACTGCAGTGGGCTGAACAGGATGAATGGCTGAGTCAATAAAGACTGATGAGTGAGTCCACAGGCTCTGGAGCTGAACTGCCCAAGGTCCAGCCCAAACTCTGAGAGAAAATGAGGTCATAGTCAGATAGGGGGCAAAGTTTAAGAAGTTTATTCCAGATAGGTGATAGATGAATATTTTATATGCTGGAGGAAAAGAAATGGTTCTCAGTGAGTGAGGGGTTGAAGATATAAAAAAGTTAGGGATTGGTTGATGGGATAATATTATAGAAGATGAGGCAGAATGGAACTCAGAGAAGAGGTGGATGGTTGGATCAACCTGGGATAGGAGGGGCTTCTTGTTTTCTAAGGTGGAGTCTAGGGTGAAGTTAACAAGGAGGGGCAAAGCTAAGGATGTGTATGTTTGTTGTGGGGAGCAGAAAGTTGAGAGCATTCATGACTAATAGCTGGTTGTCTTTGTGAAATAGGAACAAGCTCATCTGGAGGGAGAAAAGAAGTGGCAGGAGTGAGGAATGGAGTAGGGCTGATAAATGAAGTAGTTACACAGCAGTAACTTCTGGAGACAAGATGACACCAGCCAGAATGGATAGTCTGACAAAAGGAGTGAGAATTCTGATATGATAAGAAATTGTGCTCACAAAGTGAGACAGTCATGTTTGCTTCCACAGGCGAAACACTTCCAGGGGATGACAAGCCTAAGGGGAACCATTTGAAAGTGACTGCGGTCTACAGTACAAAGTTAGGAATTTAAAATAATTTTCCACCCAAAAAAAAGATTCTTCACCACAAATAAATTATTGCTTATATCCATACTTTTCTTGATTTATTGCATCATCTTTCTCTTTCTTACAAATTTGCAATGCTATTAGGAAGGTGGACTTCTCTAGTTGGGTTAGATCCTATCCCTGTGCCACCTAATCTGTCCTTGAATATAGTTATGGATGTGAAATTCACTTGTATAGGACTGACCATTCTGTTTTAGAGTAGGCCGGAATCCATTAACGTGGAAACATAAGTGCTAGACTGTGGATTTTATCTTGTTGTGATGGTCACATAAAAAGCCTTCCCACCCTACGTGCCCTTTGCAATATTATTTTGTCACTTTTCCCATCAAGAAATGAAGTCTGTCCCCTTCCCTTGAATCAGCAGATAAATGGTGGTTATCACTTTAAGCCTCTGAATTTTGAGAGCTCTGTTACACTGCAGTAAGATGTGAAGGGGTAGAGTCTCAAGGCAGAGGGTCAAATGAAAAGCCCTTGGACATAATCAGAAGATGAGCTGGCAAATATGGAAAGAGAAGTGGGGGAAAATTAGGTGGCCATGTTCAGTGTGACCGGTGATTGGATGGGGGTGCAGAGGAGAAAATAAAAAAAGATTATTATGAAATGCTACTTCTGGGAAATAATGTTTATCTGGACAGCAGTATGTCTAGATAAAGAACTGGATTCTTGAGGAAGGTAAGTCCAGTTTGCAGTTGTTTTTTTTTTGATGACAGCACAAATTCCCTGTAAACGTGTTCCAGTAGCAGCTAGAGACACAGGCCGAAAACTGAGGACCTAGTCGGGGCTGGAGCTGTTAGTGGTTTCAAACAAAAAGATGCAACCAGCTCTCCTTCCCTCCTGTCCCAACCTAAAGGGTGTTTTCTGACTTCTCTCTCCCATATTCAGTAGCAAAGGTGGAGCCATCCAGCAGAAGGGAGAAACAAAGGAGAGGGAGAGGTCACATGTGAGGGGAAAAAAAGCAACGTAGTGTCCTATGGGATTGCGTCTTATTTTAGTTTCACCTCAGGAAGGCTGCACTGCTTGAGTGAAAATAAGAAACCCAACACACACACTCAACTAAAATGATCATCGTTCAAAACTTCTCCCTTGAAAGGAAAATGAGAAACCCTAACCTCAGGTTTTTAAATCACAAAGAAAGGACAAGAGATGCTTTCCTTTTATGGATTCTTAAACCTTCAGAAAGTGCGCTTTTGTGTCTTGATCAGGACGGCTGTGTCTGTGTGCCGGGGGGAAGCTGCAATCCACTTAGCAGGCAACATTACGACTTCCCATTTGCCAGGTTGCTCCAAAAAGAGTGAAAAATCAAGTATACTGCATCTCTTCTAAGCGAGCCAGTATTGTGTAGAGATTCTATAGTATAAAGATTATTGCCTATGCTCTGCAGTCAGTTAGAATGGACTTCAAATCCTTGTCCCGTCACTACTGAGCGTGAGGCTTGGACATGCCATTAACCCCTGTGAGCCACAGTCCCCTCATCTGTAAAATGAGGAAAGTACCTGGCTCAGGGTGTTGTTTGAAAATCAATGGAATATTGGATGTGAAGCACTTAATCTGGTAAGGGCCCAGTGGGTGGTTCCTATAGTCATTAGAATTAGTGCTAATTTGTCATTTTTGTCCCATCACTGAGGTAATTTTTCGGAAATGTTTACAACATAAGGAAATACAGTCTGAGTGTATTCAGTCAGTGATTTAAATGTGACGATTGTTTAATATATTATGTAATAACAGGTCACTTGTAATGTATATGTATCTGTAAGATTTCCCTCTTAGGGGACAGAGTCTGTTGTTTCACAGAATCTTTGTAAATTTTCAGGCAAACCGAAACTGACATGCTGGGTCCTCCTCATTTCATTATTCATAATTTTGGATGAAAGAAAATAAGCCATGTTCTGTTGCAGGATTTGTCAAACTTTTTCTGTGAAAGATGAGACAGTAAATATTTTTGCCTTGCTGGTCACATATGATCTCTATCTCATTTTTTTTTCTGTTATTTTACACAATTCTTTAAAAATATACAAACCATTCTTAGCACATATGAAAACAGAACACTGGTTGAATTTAACCCATAGGCTGTCGTTCACAGACCCCTGCTCTAGTGTAAATTTGTATTGTTCGTTACTGGGGTCCTTATGCCAATAAGTATTGAAAAAAAGAATGAGAAAAATATTCTGATTCTGATTCAGACGTACACCGGCTTAAATAAGACTGTTAATTGCTTTCCTTGTTGGAACAGGGCCATCACTGAGATGCAATAAGCTTAGGTATGATTTTCAGGACTGGAGACCATTCAGCACATTAGTTCTGAACAATATCCTTGTGCTTTGCACAAATTTCTTTCTCCTCCTCAGAGGAGCAGTTTGGATACAGGGTTTTATGGCATCAGGCACAAGCTGTCATTAAAACCCTAAACTGAAAATCATGTTGCCCTTTATGAAAATGAACAGCTGGTTAGCCCAGACCATTGGCCGCCCTCAGATCTATCTGTGCTGCATGCAAGTAGCTTGAATATCCCTTCACGATGAGGGATTTGCAGGACATTTTTAATCAACCAGTGGAAGGGAAATCCTCATCAGTGGTTAGTGTCTCTTTCAACTTCTGCACCTGCCTTGGCTCCTGTCTCTCTGTGGACCCAGGAGAGAAATATTCTCCTGAAGCCATGATCTAGGATTATCCTGAGCTTTTCTTTTCTGACTTGTGTTCCAAGATGCTTTCCCAGAAACGCCAGTAGTGTCTTTCTCACTTCTCTTTGTCCTATCTTTCTACTTTCCATTGACTACAAAGAGAAAAAGGAGAAATATTTTTAAGTACTCCAAAATATTTTCTCATGTTTTAATCGAGCCTATTTTTGGTGAATCCAATATTTTATGTTAAAAGAGGCAGATGGAATTGTGACCCACTGTCTGAGTGGCACCTTAGCTGAGGTCCTGGTCCTCTGGGAGACAGGCTGGACCAGCAGAGTGCCCTTGGGCTGGCTTGGTCTTAGTATAACGTAGAGCCTGGAGCAGATTAGGGCAAGCAGCTTCTTTTGTTCCTTTTACCCTTAGCCTACACTGGACCCAGGCCTTTGGCATCATGCACATCTGATAGACGATGAAGGCTGGCTCAGGAAAAGCACGTTTATCGGGGAAGAGAAACAGCTCAAGGTGGAGAGAGCCTGAGCACACTTGTCCCACTGCGTATGACAGAGCTGGCTCCGTCTGCCTCTCCCAGCTTTCTTGGGGCCCTTTCTCTATCTATTCTCAAGGCAAAAGTCACACCAAAAGAAAGAACACGCTCCAACCTCCACTCAACGCTTCATTCAGTCATTCATCCACCCAACACAGATTTATTGAGTAGTTCTCATGTGCCAGACACTCTCCTAAGTACACATGACAAAGAATGAACATGAAAGACAAGGTCTCTCATCATTTTACTCCATACCTTGTTCTGAAGATACTGCTCTTTCATGGGCTCTGTCCTTTATCACTTGTGTTCAGCATTGGAAGCCTACATGAGCCTGTGGCCAAGGAAGATGTCTTTGAACCAGACTAATCCATAGCATGGTCCTTTTTGGAAGGGTCTGTAGAGGGGAGTGGTGAGCAGGGAGCTGTGGCTGCTTCTTCCTGCAGGCCCTGCTACTCACTGTGGAGGATGATCTCTCATTCTTACCCTCTCTGTGTGTTTCATCCCCTAACCTCAACTGATCCTATTCTGTTTCTCTGGTCTGGGCTAATTTCCTTTTAAACTGCATGTCATGTGGTCAAAAGTTATTTTGTTTGGGGTAGGGAAGTTTCTTCACTGGATGTAGACCACCTGTCTTGCACTTTTGCAAGCACATCCTTTTCTGATTTCTGGAGGCCCTTTTGGTTTACTTTCTCAGGAAATTTTTTGGAATCCCAGGTAAAACCAATACCAGTCCCATGTTTGATGTATGCAGGCTTTTCTGTTATGGCTGATCTATTGTAGGTAATTTCTAGAAAGACTTCAACTCCTCAGTGAAGTCAGGTTCCTTGCTACACAGCCCAGTATCTCTAGCTCCCTTCAGACAAAGAATGGGCTTTTAATACCCATGAGAGAAGATGACATGAAATGAACAGGAAATGTTTTTCCTGCTCTAAGATGAAGATACTCCCAGCACCATTATTTTCCCAGCCATGTGGCTCTAGGTTTCTTTTCTCTGGTTGACTTTCTTCTCTGTATGGTCAGATTTGTGACCTTTCTCTTGTTCACTAATTCATAATACCCGCCCCAGCACAGTATCGATATGCTTAAAATGTTGTTCTGGAGACATACACCAGAACTGAAACACTGCCCACTCCACACAGATCTTCACATCATCAGAAGAGCTTACTCCAGGAAATGAGTTTTGGAGGGGGTTATTGGAATGTAGAGGCAAAGTCAACATTCTTCTTTTTTCCCTAGACTTCACATAACATCATACAATCAAACAAGATCCTGGCTACCCCTCATTGGCCTGTAAGGACTCCCCTGAGTTTGTGAGTGTCAAACACTATTATCCAAATTATCATTTTGCTGGTCAATCCACCTGTAAAAAAAAATCACATTTTTTAACATAACTTACTGACCTGAAGTACTGATGTTGTCTGTAGTTGTTGGTTAATAAAAGCAACAAAATTGACAGCTCCTACGTCTATAATTAAATGTGTGAAACTAACAAATAGAAGTAATAGAGAAAGATTTTTTTTTCTTTACTGGGTCATGTTGTGACATCAATTTGTATTAAATAACAAGAGTGAGAATATAGAGGATTTGCTTTTCATTATGGTGCAAATTAACATTCAACTACCGATCCAAAATAGATTTGCATAAGAGTTACCACTATCAATAATCATTTAGAATTCATTTTACCCAGATAAATTAGAATCTCTAGTGATAACAGGCAGGACTTATCTTCTGTGTTTCTGAAAAAAAGATAAAAATAATAGCTCTTTCTTATAACTGGATCTTGAGATTGGACACAAGCCTTGTATGTGTGGCTTTCTATATCAGTTATTAAGTTTCTTTTGAGTGAATTGAATACTTCATGCAACTAAGAAAATAAGATGGAATTCAAAGATGATGTTGGATAGACAAAGATTAGGAAAGCACAGTAAAAAATACTAAAATGTCACCTAGTCTATTCCACTGCATGGGATACACAGTACGTGTAGCCGCTGTCACACCACTGATGTCTGAGGAAGAAAGAGGAAAAACATCCTCCTGTAATCTGTTTAAGAGTTCCCCCAGTCCTACCCCAAATACTAGTCATTCAAACTCTCTTTATAGCAGTAAAGTCTTATGTGTGTATACAGCTTAAAATAACATAGAGCTTAAATCACATGTTAGAGATAATAAAGGTAATGATAAAAGGTAATCGCTCCCTTTTTTATTACCCTGCAAATATAGTATATAACAGTAACAGTAATCAAAACATCATATAGTGAGTGTTTAAATGGGCTAGGCACTCTTCTGAGTCCTTTTTTTGACACACTATTTCAATACTATCCATTGGTATTATCTATAAAGAAATAGAGACCTAGAGAAGATAATTTGCCCATTTTCACAATTTGTAAGGGACAGAGCTTGAATTTACATCCTCTGCTCCAAGCTCTCACTTTTAACCCTTCCGATGCTGCATCATCATATATATCATATATACATATATATCTCAGTGATAACTGCGAATCTGTTGAAAAACTCTGGTTAGGTCCTCTGTGAGTTTTCTCATCTCTGGATTAATTACATCCAATTTCTAACATTTTGTCATAGCGTCATGTTCTAACATTAGTCACTAACAGAGATGCATGGTGTACTGTTATTTTAAATCCACATACAACAAGAAAATAGGCCTAATTGGAGAAAATTAAGGTAGTTGCAGCTTCCTGATGATTAAGCACATGAATTTGTTGCTAGAGCAAGTTGTAGAATTTTCTGAATATCTGAAAGAAAAGCACAAATAAGGTTTTAACAAACTAATTTGGACCCCAGTTTCCTGATTTTGTAAAACGAATGGTTCAGAGTAGGTGATCTCCCTTGGGTCTCCCCCCACCCTAACATCCCGCAGGTCTGTAACCTCAGGAGGGGACTGGATGTTCCAAGATCCTTTTTGGGCTTCTATTTTTGTGCTCAAATGATTCTTGACTCTCTCTGGTTCTGCTCCACATTCTTGAGTCTCTTTCGAATGGAGATCTCATAAGAGCTGTTATTTAACAGCATCCCCGATACACAAGGTACAGAATTAAATACAACTGTGCATTTAGGACTTCAGCCATCATATTTCATCAGCACTGTGCTCGTTCTCCTGTTTGATCAAGGTTAAACAACAAGACGATATTTCCTCATTGGGTAGCGTTTTAAAGTGCATTGTGTATGTGACAGATGGGATCTTATAAATGCATTAAGCGTGCTTATTTTAATATCTAAGCATATGCAGAAGTTCTAGAAATATTTTACATGCAAATGTCTGGGGCTCTGCAAGGGCCTATAATAGAAATCCATACTCTGACTTCAAAGCTTTAGTCCCGACAACTAATCACTTGGCTATTTCCAAATCAAATTTCTTCAAACAAATCAAAGGCGTTTGTCCTACCCAAGAACCAAGTTCTGTGGCAAGTTTGACATTTTAAAATCAAGCTGCTTATTGAGATATTCATGCACTGAAAAAGGCACCTAGAATTTCTTTCAAGGTATGAGAAACACCTTTTTTCATGCTCCAATAACTCAGAAATTTGTCAAAGAGAATTTTATCAAATTTTCTTCACACACTCACACACAAAACTCACCTTTGCAGTAAGAGCTAGCATGCGGAAATTCAGCCCAAGAGAGCTTTCATTTTCTGAAAGGTTATGAGCCCCTGAGATTTCACTTCTTTCTGCATAATCACTGTGTTGCTTCTGAGTTGTTAACAATAACACTGATTAAGAGGAAAAAAGAGGAGATATCCCACATGCCAATATTAAATGGCTTCACAAAGTAGGAATATTTTAACCACAGCATTTGTAGTGAATAGAATAAAGTGCCCAATTTCCCAGGGAGCAGAGCAGAAAAGAAATGAAGAGAATGGTCATGATAAATAGCTAACCTTTATCCAGGGCTTCCTGCATGCAAGGAAATGCGCCAGTTCCTTCACGTGCATTGTCTCATTGAATCCACTCAACAGCTCTCCAAGGAGGCACTTTTACTATAGCATTTCCACCCCTGAGGAAAATGAGGTTCAGAGGAATTAAATAACTTGACTGGAGTCACCTAGACAAAATTCAGATAGGGTTCGTTCCAAGCCTGTGTTCTTAATTGCTAAGAAAGCGGTAAAACAGGAAGCCCTGACAAGAAGAGATAGCTAAGGATCAGGAAGACCAGGGTGGGCTTCCCGTGGACGCTTCTCCAGAGCCCCCATCCCGGAGCATATGGGCTGGCCCAGAGCCAACACTTAATAACTACTTACTGAATGAATGACTGCATAAATGCATACAAGGCACTGTAAGGCAATTTACGAGGCATTCTGGCCTTTGGCCCCCGTACTCCCCCAGCCATCCATTCTAGCCCATGCTGACACCCACCCTGTGTCCGTGACTCTGTAACGCCACCTGGCTCCCGCTTCCAGAACCAGTGCTACACACGTTTGTGAAGAGAGCAAAGTGCCCGCTTGGCACCTCTGCCCCTTCTTGTTCTTTGCCGGGTCTGCTGTTTCCCCAGCCCACGCTGCCCTTAATGGGGGCCGGAGCTGGCCTGAACGCAGCCGGCCCAGGCAAATTCCACTCATCTTTCTTCTGCTTTCTCATCCTCCCCAGTCAAAATTTCAAGCTTTCTGAGAACAATTGTTTGTTTGCTTATCTGTCTTCCCCTTTTGAACAGTGAGATCTGTAAAGACAGGAGCTGCATCATTGTTATATCTCCACTGCCAATCATGGTACCTGGAAGGAAGCAGTTGTTTTGTCAGCACTAAATTAGTGACTGGATGGGCGGTGAATGGATGAATGCTTTCCATGGCAACCCTTGCTTATCAAGATTGCAGGGAATTGGAAACTACCACCATTAATAATTACTATTACAATGTATTTATTTGGAAGTATTGCTACAGGAAGCTTTATGGTTTCCAGAGCTGCTGGTGTGTGTGTTTGCATGTGTGTCCATCCATATATATATATAGGAAACTAACTTGTTATTCATTTATTTAATGAATAAATGTTTGTTGAGTACCTACTATATGCCAGGACTGTTCTAGCCATTGTAGTATATTACTGCTGATTACTATACAATCAAGTGCAAATTTTGTTCTCTACCATCCTTTTAGCTTTTTTTTTTGGAAAGGGATTCTTTTTCTCTGCTCCTGGATGAAAATTCTAGTAGGCTCCATAATTCCTCTGCTCACTCATGGGTAAAACGGTTCTAAAATGCCTTAAAGTCACAAACACAGTCTCAGTTCAGTAACTGTGATTTCCAGTTCTATGGAATAATCAAAACTCTGAACTTGAGTTAAGGTTCAGTCTTCTCGCCTCCCCCAGGTGCAGCCGTGCAGTCCGAGAAGGGCCCATGGGCTTAGGCCCTTTCTCTACTCTCCTTTGCTCATCTCTTTCCTCACCTTATAACTGCTGTTTCAGATCACCTCAGCTCAGGGTTGGATGAGATGGGAGGGAAGTTAAGGGGGCAGTACCTTGGCTCCACTGGCTGTTAGTTCTCTGAGTCTGGCAGGTGGTTCAAGGTGATCTGCCTGGTTGAGGCAGGTTTCGTGGGCCCTTTAGAGGTTCCCCCGGGGCCCCTTCTTCTGGACCCTTATCCTAAGCATGTTCCTAAGCATATTCTAGTCTAGATGGTCTCCTGTGGCTCTTTTCTCAGCCCTTAGGAGCTGGAGGGTACATATCCGTGGTGTGAGTCTTCTAGGAAGACTTCTTAGGGATAATGTAAGAAAACCCCACACTTTCTCTCTCTCTCCCATGTGAACCTCGTCTGCTCCATGGGAAACATTCATATCCCTCCCTTGGTTGACTCGGAGAGGGCAGCCTGGTTAGTCACGGGTTAGTTAGACACAAGTCTTCTCTACCTCCTGACCGGGAAACACAGCCTATGGATCTCCCAGTGATGGTTTGAAGATCCCCTCACCAGACTTGGGGTAGCAGCGGGGAGAGAGATTCAGCAAAGCCAGAGCTTTCTGATGAAATTCCTTCACCCCTTTTCTCCCTTGCTCTGCACTCTGGACCCTCTCAGATTCTCAGAGTGGGGATTAAATTCTAGGATCAAAGAACTGTCTTTTGAAAATCTGGACATGATGGGTTGGCCTTAGAAGTTCTCATCTATTTTATGTTGCAGTCTCTGTAGAGACTTCAATTTTTTTAGCATAATATTATATAGTATATATATTTATATATGTATATAGTGTGTATATTGTAAGTGCCTTGAAAACTGATGACTTGTGGACTATAATAATAAAATTATTTTGTCACCTCTCTGTTTAAAGTATTTTCAGTTTCTTTTCCACTGCTGGATGAAACCTCAGCTTGGCTATACCCATGAGTTTTCTGATATTTCTTAAGTAATAAAAAATATTCTGGTCACTTTAGGTAACAAAATACTATCACAGTTTGGTAC